GAGTATACTAACTAATACAAATAAAAGGTGCAAAGAAATTTTTTTTAAAAAAAAAAATTAATAAAAGATAAAGTATAGAAACTTCTAAAATTCTATTAAATATACAAAAGATCCTTGCTATTCTCAAAAAAATAAATAGAAAAAGCTAAAATTAAAAGTTCTTATATTGTATCAGCTAATATTATTATAAATATTCTGAATTAACAATCTCAAACTCTATATATTAATACTCCTAAACTAGAAAATGACATTTAAAAATTATATTATCAAATATTCAAATTCTTTAAAGATATTCATCAAGAGAAAACCTCTATATATTAGTTAGAGATTTACTAAAAAAAAAATCAAGATAATAAAGTTACTTATATTTGTTATCTAATTGTAGCTAAAAAAACTAATTGTATAACTCAATTATTCTATTATTATTTTCTTGGTACTTTACTTGAAGATAAAGCCTAAACTAAAGAGACAAAAAAGATTATAAAAAGATACTTATCTTATTAGTACTAAGAAATTTTTACTATTGCATAATGAACTTATCAACTAAATACTACTTATAGTCCTTCTTATTTTTTTATTATTTACCTTATTACTCTCTATATACTCTAATAATTATATAAAGAAAACTTTTTAATATTAAAAGCAGAAAGTCTAATGAACTTAGTATAGTAGTTAGTTGCTAGACTACTATATAAGAGGTCTAGAGTTCAAATCTCACTGTCAACAGAATTGAATAATTATCTAGACTTCTGTATTCAACTTATGATAAACTCTATTTATTTCTGAAGTTGTAATCTTATATATCATATTATACTAATGTTATTCAGACATTGAAAATATGATAAAATATTTGGAGAGATATATTATTATATAAATAAATCTTAATAGGATCTATAAATAGAAAATCTGTATAGTAGAAATTCTGAGTTAGATAAAGTAATACAAATTTTAATTGTTATACCTATTAACATTTGATCTAAAAAAGAAAATTTGTATACAAAAAGATTAGTGAATAGAATATGAATAAGTCTGTTAGAAAAACTGTATATAAAAAGATCAGTAAAATAGGTATATATAAGTCTATTATATAAAGTTATATAGCAATACTAACTTGGCTTAGTGGCTAACTAGATTTTGAAAAATCTATTTCATATAATATCTGAAGATATAGACAACTATTATCAAAACTAACTTGGGTTAACTAGATTTGAAAGAACCTATCTTATATGATATATAGAGGTATAGATGACTAGCTCAGTAGAAAGCTATAGTAAGAACTAAGTTTGTATAAATATTGAACAAGGATATATGCAAGCTAAATTAGAATATAGTGTAGTATAGTTAGATACTATAGTACCTATTGATTAGGAAGTTAGTGAAGAGGTACTTGAGATGTATCTAGACTCTAAATTATAAAGTTTGTAAATATATATTAGCTCTGTTGATATCTTTTGAAAAGAGAAGTAGTATAGAGTTAGGTAAATTTAGGTAATAAATGATAGCAGAATAGAAAAGTATATAGCTAAAAAGTTTAAATAGAGAATTTTCAAATAAATTTCAGATATAGTAGCTAGTATAGAACCTTTAAGCAAACTATTTATATTAGACAATCTAAAGTTGTATATGTAACTAGTTGTATTCTCACATATATAATTATTACTCAAAACTATCTATACTAATAAAAATCTTGCTGATGACATGTTGTATAAAGTAAAATATTAAAAGCAAAGACCTAAGCTATAACCAATTAGAAAATAGTTAATATTCTTAGGTTAACCTAATTCAGAGGCTTATTGACAAAGGAAGGCATATGTAATGAATATATTTTAGTTTTATTTAATTATCTGATTTTTATTATTTATTTTTTATTATTTTTTTTATTATTATTTTTTTTTTATACTTATTATTTTATATTTATTATATATGTTTATTTTATTATATTTTTATATATATATATATATATTATTCTATGTACATTTATATCCAAATATATTTACAAAGAAATTCAAAGAATTTGACAAAAAAGAGAATATATTATGATATTGTAGCTTAACTAGTTATTGAATAGTTAATTTGTATATTACTAAAATTTGAATATATATATAAAATATAAGATGTAAATATTGAAAAATTATAAAAGCACTAATTAAATAATATTATCTATAAGAAATAGTATACTTAATAAAATTAGAGCAAAAACAATCTGTAAAATCAAAATATATTTAAATGATTGGAATTTAATAAAGTAACAGTATATTCTAAATACCTAAATATTTTCTAATAAATAAAATAAAGAAAATTAATATATATTCATCTGAAAAACTTTCAAATTATCAATTATTTTCATTAAATTTGATTTTAAATTTAATTATCTATTTAAGACTCAATTTAGCAAATCGAATTAATTTGCAAATTCGAATTGGATTATTAAAACTTGAATTCTGATTGAACTAATTACCAGAAAGTTATATGATTAGTCTGAATAATGACTCTTAGAGAAAAATTTAAAGATAAATAGTAATATATTAAATGTATCTCTCTTGCTCTTGATATTATTCTACAGATTAATTGTACTCTCTTATATCTATATATTTTCTCATATTTGTAAACTATTAGAGTTAAATTGACTTAGAATTTATAACTTTTATTTATAAAAGTAAATTGCTCTCCTATTACAATAGTTATAGTATTGAATTTTTAAAAAGCTAAGATGATTTTATTGAGTCAATTTCAGGTCGCTTATATATATAATTTTACTAGTACTAAATAATATAAATAAAAAAAAATAAAAAAAAGAGAAAAATAATAAAGATTTGAGAAATCTGAGTTGGAATTCTTAGGATTCAGAAAATTCTAGAAATTACAGCTAGGATTATTAAAATTCAGAAAATACTAAAAATCTCGACCAGGATTCTTAGAATCCTTAAAATTCAGATAATCCTAACTGGGATAGCATAGAAATTCTTAAAAAGCTCCAAGAATTTTGGGATAATGTAATCTTGAATTAGTAGCACTTCTGGGGTTACCAGATTTGACCTTTATACTATCTGTTAACTAGCTATTGCTAGTGATAACATTAGTTTAAGTGAGCTGGCTCTACTTTGCTTTTAAGCCTAGCTAAGTCAATCTGAGCTCTAGTTCTGTATTTTATCTAGTGCTCATAGTAGCCATATCAAAATTGTTCAGGATAAATTTTAACTTGTTTGTGTAGAGATTGAAATTGATAATTCGAATATTTATTTAACACATATGAGCTGATTTGAGTAATTTATAAATAAAATTTATTTTTTGAAAATTTTAAAGCTAAATAACTTTTGATCTACTAGTCTGTTGTAAATAATTTTACTACCAAAATATTCATCTTTTTGAGACAATTCTAATGAGCTCAAAATCATTAAAATCCAATTTCAGGATTATGAAATAATGCACTGTCAAATAGTGACGCACCTAGAAGATAGGGTTGATTGGTTAGACCTATGACTAACCAATCAACCCACTCTCTAGATGCGTTACTATTTGACAGTGCATTATTTCGTAATCCTGTGATTAGATTTTAATAATTTTGAGCTCATTAGAAATGTCTCAAAGAGACAAACATTTTAGTAGTAAAATTATTTATAATAGACTAATAGATCAAAAGTTATTTAGCTTTAAAATTTTTAAAAAATAAACTCTATTTATAAATTACTCAAATTGGCAGATATGATGAATTTTTTGATAGTAAATTTTCTTTCTTAAATATTAAAATTCTTTCCAAATTATTATTAAAATATAAGACCAAAATATTATATGTAAATTTAACTTCAAAAAAAATTAGCTTATTATTATATGTTGATGCTACTTGTTCGATTGATATTCGTAATTTATTCAACGATTCCATGATTGTAATTTTCATTTTTTTGATATTTTCTAGTTTAACTACTGTAAATGTATAAATACTTCCAACTTTAAACTAGTCTTCACTTTTCGACTATTCGTACTATTGTAATTATTTAAGTTACAAGAAATAAATAAAATTGATGAATATTTGAAGCTATATCAAATAAAGTAAAATAAAATAAAGCATTAAAATTAAAAACTAAAGATCTTATAGTTCATTATTAGTTTAGCTAAATTTGATATTCCAATCGGTATAAATTTTGAAATGATGTATATTCAAAGTGAATTGCGAATTGACATATAACATAGATAAGTTTTAGGCACATACATGCTGTTCCTAAAGTTGTTAACATAATTTCAGGCATGACATCTATTGTAAATTTTTTATTTTATCGTATACTGTATATGTGTGTGTACTTTATAATAAAACCATAAGCAATGAATTAACTCCTGAGCACAATTCAGCAGTGTTGGCCTATGACCTGTTATGACCTATTGGCCAATTATAGGTTATGACCTTATGATCTGTTATGACTTATAAAATTTACTAATACATTATGACCACCTTGGTCATATAAAGTTGGATATGACCTAAAACGGCCAACACTGATATATTTTAAGCCATAATCATAAATCACGAAAATATAATATATACTATATATTCCGGAATGCATTTTTATAGGGCTCTAGTCTCAAGGCCGACTTTATACTTCCAGATTAGGTATTTTTTCATGTTCTCGATCCTTAGGCGAGACCAATTTGATTTGGTGGTTTACCTCACATTTTCACTTTGAAAGAGAGAGGAGGGGGGGAGGGAGAGGTTTATATATAAAATTTTCAAAAAAAAATTTTCTCTGAAAAAAATTTTTTCCGAAATGTTCCGTACTATATAAAATTTTTCCGACATAGCCCGTTTCCTTATACTATTTATCTAAAATTTTTTTACTATAAATGAGAGGGGGATGAGGGTAATGTAACCACCAAATCAAATTGGTCTCGCCTTATCGAATAGAGTTATATTAAATTCAAATAATTTGTATCGTAACCCACATGAAATTACAAGGTTTAAATTAATGTTAACAAAGAAGATAACTGATAAGAATAGACTGCGTGCCGTATAATTAATTTTTGAGGGAGTTTGTTGGTTCTTTTTCTACACAATCACTACAATAAGTTTTCTTGAAATATTATGTGATATATCACTGGTAAATAAGTTGTTGGCTTTTGTCCCAAGTAGAGTTTAAAACTGGTTTTATTTCATACAATAAACCCAGTTTTAATCTTTATCATAAGAAAAATAAAACTGGTTCCAGACTTTAGCCCCAAGTTGTAAAACAGAGGTTTTTATAGCATAATAATATATACTGTATTATTTTCAAGGGTTTCAAATACTATTATATAGTGTGGGGTATGTAATTACAAAATAATAATATCATAATATAAAAAAAAAATATTTATCGAATATGTAATAAGTTTTCTTCTCTAATTACTAACAAAATATCAGAAATGATCCATGCAAAACTTAAAAGTTTTCTATCATCAGGGGTATCTGGAAATTCATCATCATTATATGCATTATATGTTACATAATACCAAGCTGATGCTTTGGCTTTTGTTTCATTATTGATGGGGATATGCACATTATACGTATCATTGTCAATATTTTGATTAATATTATCTTGTATACCCATCAAGAAAGATTTTCGATATTTATGCATTGTAAAAGAAATTGTCCCTGATATAGATTCACGAACGTCTTGACTTTTTCTTCCGTCTACTCGGCGATAACCAAGAAGATTTGACGATATTATCTCCGGTTCTGTTTTAACTCTAAATTTCTTCATCAGATTAAATATTTCACTGTTATATGAGTTTCTGCATACTTCGGCTTCTTCTAAATAATCTTCATAGCCTTGTGCAAGGAATTCTCTGTTTACAATTATATCTGTTCCCTCATAATTTAACAATGGATCATTTTCTGGTTGATTTAATTTTATATTTCTATATAATTTTCCGAGAATCTTTTGGGACTTGTATTCTTTCTTGGTCTTGCTTTCCATAAAATCAGGATATTCGTCCAATTTTGGTAATTTATCTGTGACAGGAACACCTGTCTTGTTAAAATCGACCGCCATTGAATGCTATAATATTGATGTAACATGATAAGCTTTAAGTTGCAAATAAAATTCATAGTCAAATAATTAATATATATTTACCAATTCTGCTAATCCTATACAACTTGGATGATATACACCCTCTTCATAATAATCTGCTAGTGCCAGATGTAAGTTTCCAATTTGTCCAATACGATCGTTTTTCATAAAGTCTATAAAGAATTTGTGTATATCCGAAATCTCTATTGGTCCATCTCTATCTAGAGTTTTTCTTTCTGGTGAACTATATTTCATAGGTTCAGAATCAGTCTCTGGAAACATGCTCTCATTAAAACATACAAAGTATTCATCACCATCTAAAAATAGATAAAGTAAGATCGAAAAAGTATAAAAAATACAAACATGAACATATATAAAACCACATGCCTAAGTCACCACCACTCTGTTAAAAAAGAGAAATATGAGATAATGCTATGATAATATATAATAGTATTAATAAATAATACAAACCAAACAATTGGGCAATGGCTGTTCTCCTTTTTGACTGAATACAACACAATTTTTGAGGTGACTTAATTCCGGAACGTCTACAGCAAAGACGATTTTTATATCACCAGGATGTAGGCTTGGATTTCGTGCAATCACTATTCATCAAATAATAAAAACATGTTATGGCAATGTAAATACTATATAAATAAAACTAGATTATCTATTATTATTTCTACCTGTAGGACCAGTTAACACCTAGTGTTTAAATTTAATATTAATACTATATTGTAATCTTTTACAAGGCCCTAAGTTCAATTTCTTTAAGAAAAATAAACAAACTTTATGTTCTCTTCGAACTTTAGAGTTAGCCGTACGAAAGGTGCGATTATTAGATTTTATTTTAGATGTCTGAACATAAATTTGTTCTATAAAAATACGTTAAAAGCATATATTAGTACTGTATTTACAATTATTATTATCAGAACTTTAGAAAAAAATCATAAATTTACGTGGTTCAAGAATTCCAGTTTCATCAAGAACGCCATATAACATATATGCTTTTGGTACTGGAATGCGTGCCTTGTATCTTAAACTCTTCAATGAAAATATCCGCTTGCATTCCAAAATTCCCCTTAGATAGGGCTCATTATCCATTAACCCCTGTAAACACGATCGGATATACTCGGTGTTTTAATTTGAATGCAAATATAAGCATATCCAATTTTATAGAGATACTAACCGCTTCAATCATACTATGGATAGTCTTAGTAACGTGAGTACATTCCTTTACTCCTGAACTTCTCTTCACAATCTCATGGGCCCTTTGAGGGTCTAGCATCATAAAATCAATATCCGTTATTGCTTTGTTTTGTAATGTGATAAAAACATCATCTTTAACGCCAAGTGAGGATAGAACAGTAATTAACTGCCTATTTAAATGTCCTGGTAACGGATTTCTCACTGCTCTTACGATTTCTAAATTTGTTGAGACTGGTGCATTAAATTTTGTCTGACTAGGACGTAGACATAAAATCTTCCCTTGCAAGTTTGGATCGAAAGATACAACTCCCTAGAAACGGTATGTGTTCAGAAAACTTACACTAAAACTAATTTTCAAAATTAATTAGTACCTTACAACCTCCGAATCTAATCTGAAAGACGGATGGTATTTCATTATCTAGTTCAACAATTTGTGTGCCAAAGTAATGTTCAGCTGCAATTTTGGCAAGGGCAGGTGAGATTTTACCACATCCATCACTAGAATGTATTAAGATATTTAAAATGTTTAAGATAAAGAAGTTTTATTATAATAAAATTTTTATACCTAAATGTAAAGCCATTTCGTTTAATATCTGGAATATTTTTTATATTATCCTCATCAAGCTCTAAGGTACCAATTGTGCTAGTAAAGCATTGGCCCATCCGAGCAGCACACAATGCAGGTGCTCTAAACTTACTGTGACGATAATTTCAATTATTAAAATTTTATCAATTGAAGAATGAATAATAATTTTTTATTATTTACCTAAAATCACCCATATTTTCACGAATCATATTTGCATTAAGTTCATGATCCGCAGATACAAACCAACATGAACTTTCTCTTAATTGAGAAGATGAGAAAGCTAGAAATTCGTATTGTCTTCCGGCTACGGTGAAACCATTTTTTAATTTTTCACCAATTCTTAAATTAGATATATCATCATCATCATTATTAATAAATAAACTATTAAAATTTTCATCTTTAAACGTAACACGAATAAATCTATCAGCATATTCCGAATATTGTCGAAGAATACGATTTGAAGGTTCATATTCGGGGCCATCAAAGTAGATTTTGATGGGAGTTATAGTCGCATGATTTACCCAAGCGCATCGATTAGTATCTTTTAACTTCATATTTGGATTGGCAGGATGCCATTCGTTAAATTCACCTCGAAAGTTTCTTACTGCTATTTCAAATATTTCGACAGGTCTTCTATTATATCTATCATCAGCTGGATCCCAACGTTGAATGGTCATTTGATTAAGTGCATACCAAGCTATTGTCTCCTTATCTTCACAAATAAGCTCAGATAATCGTTCACCAATATTATTTTCCATAATTTCATGATATGTGATTATTCCGTGTGAAATTAGAGATTCTAATTTGAAACAAATTCTAAATGGTAACAATTCAAGAAGTCCATTAAAATATAATCTTGAATCTTTTGATATTTCCTCGCATGAGACTAAACACTGAGGAATGTATTTAATTCCGGGAATTGATAAACTTTTGAAATATTTTCGGATCACCTCAAGATTTTCAGTAAAAATTAATCGATAGACTAAAAATCTTCCAAAAGCATTTACGCAGCCTGTCCAATCAATTGTTCTAATCCATTCTTCTTCTTGATAATAAAGCAGTAGAGTATTTCTACTTTGAGCTTTACGAAAAAGTAATGGAGAACATTTAAGCGAGATATATAAAGAAATGTAACCATTTCCGCGATCTCGCTCGTCTAGCAGGATTCCTCGATAGGATTCTAAACAGCGGAACGGTATTTGAATTCGTCTCTTCTCGCTGGATTCAATATGTGAAGAAGTAAATCCATCTAAAAGAAGAGCTTCAGATTCATTAGATATGTATAAGGTGGGTGTAGAATAATAACTGGGATATATCCAATCGCATAGGAATGTCCATCTTTTAGTTTGTATCCGATACTTTCCACGTTTCCCATGATCAGATAACGGCAGTTGACCTGCCCAGTTTCCAAGCTCGATACTCGAAACGGGAATTACAGATTTATTAGTCAAAAGTTCAATATTACGTCGTTTTTTTTTTGCTTTTAGATTCTTCTATCGTTAATTTTCTATTCATGCAATATATTTGGTAAAAATCATTTTTTCCTAGCAAGTCATCTGCGGCATCATCATTTTCTAGTGTGACATAAGCATAGCCACCATTATGATATCGAGAGTTCCCAGGATGTTTATTTTCACCCAATTCACATCTAATCACTTTTCCTATAATGTGTGGTTCTAGTGAATCAACCAAGATATCTGCATTTGCTTCGAAAGGTACATTATTGATAAATAAAACTTTTGTCATTCTACAGTAAAAGTTCAAGGCTAATGGGTTTGACACAATTTTATAGAAAAAAACTTGCTTTGTATTGACGGAAATATATAAGATTTGCAATGCACGCTTTAGAAATTTTCTCATTGACAAGTCTATTTGGAAATATTAATATCGAATTTGGAAGTAATAAATGTATCGTGATCAATCACCACATTCTAGAGATTCGATTTCTACAAACATATACGTATATATAATATTATAGATGGTGAGATTTGGGGTCTCCTTTTGAAAATATAAACCCTACTAAAATCTACTTGTACTCTTTTCTAAATAACTCTAACTCTAACCCTAACTAACCCTAATAAAAATACACCCCAAAAAATTTTAGGTCCGCGACAATTAACAAGCAATAATAAAATTTTTTACAAAATCTCGATGATTAGGGTTGTTTACTAGCAGGAATTAATAGTATTGGAACTAATTGGATGGAATTGGAAGTATAAGATTCTATATATTGGTCAATGTTTAGTAGACTATTTTTAAAAAAAGAGATCTATTAAATTATGATCTTTTAAATAGTGTAATAAATTACATATAGCGCTGCACTATGATAGTAAATCATTAAAATCGTAAGGAAAGTCTCTGGACCGCCAGGTCTACGGCAATTATCTGGGGACGTCACGAGACGCTCTTTATACAAATGAGCCTATTTGCTCTTATTAAGTATTTACAAATTTTCAGTACATTAACAATGATCTCTATTTCTCCTTAAGCTTTTTACCATTCGTATTTATTTCATTATTCTGTCTCCGTAAGTTGCCTGTTTTTGAATCATTGTATAGTAGCCGCATTAAATTTATTCAGAATAGATTTTAACTTGTTTGAGTTTGAGTAGAGATTGGAATTGATAATTCGAATATTAAATTTTTCGAGCGTAGACAATTTTCTTTTTTAAATAATAAACCAAGATTTTCTAATAAAATTCTTTTCTAAATATTACCATTCTGTTTTAAAATATAAGAACAGAATGATGCTCAGTGAATGTTCGATTTAAAAAAAACTTTGAGAACAAATTTGAGTACCATAATTATAATTTTCATTTTGATATTTTATATGTTTCCAACTTTAACTGCTGTAAACGTATAAAATACGTTGGTTTTTTATATGTATTTGCATGATTTCTAGAGTATCAAAGCAATGATTATATTTGTAACAGTCTTTACTTTTCGACTATTCATATCTGATATACTATTGTTAACTATTGTATCAATGATTCAAGGTACAAGAAATAAAAAAAAAAATTAAAATTTGAGGCTGTAAAAAATTAAAGATCTTAGAGTATATTATTTAGTTAAATTTGACATATTTCATATTCCAATCGGTATAAATTTTAAAATTACGTATGCTAATAATTACGGTAATTTTTAACACTACCCAAAAACATAGTATGTGTTAGATCATTCAATCATTTAATTATCAATAAACAATTATTATCGTTATCCAGTATGATGGTGAAGAATACGGTATCAATAGAATAATACTGTGTATTCGTCAAATCATGCCAGATAACAAGAAATTATCCTGATGATCCAATTATTAAGTTTAAACAACCAAATCGTAGTTTTTT